CCTGCTGCTAGCCCGTGGGCTCTGGCTGCTATCCTGACCTGGCACAGACAGGGTTTGTGGCGCAGGGTTTTGGTGGTTGCGCAGGGTTTGGGGTGTGGCCAGTCCTAACGTCACTTTCGGAACCAATAGAAAACTAAAAAACGACAGCAGCTGCCAGGGATTGGGCGCTGCCCCTAGCTCTGGCGTGCTATCCTGACATGGCTCCTGCTGCTAGCCCGTGGGCTCTGGCTCCTATCCTGACCTGGCGCACGTGGGCTCTGGCTGCTATCCTGACGTGGCGCAGGGTTTTGGTGGTGGCGCAGGGTTTGGGGCGCGGCCAGTCCTAACGTCCTAACGTCACTTTCGGAACCAATAAAAAACTATAAAAAACGACAGCAGCTGCCAGGGATTGGGTGCTGCCCCTAGCTCTGAGGTGCTATCCTGACATGGCTCCAGCTAGCCCGTGGGGCGTGGCTGCTATCCTGACCTGGCACAGGCACAGGGTTTGAGGTTGGGACATGGCTCCTGCTGCTAGCCCGTGGGCTCTGGCTGCTATCCTGACCTGGCGCAGGGTTTGAGGTTGGGACGGGATTGGTTGCGCGTAGCACAAGCATAGCACAAGCATACCTTTTCTGACGCGCTCCCCCCCTGCTTCGCCAGGCTCTGGCTGCTATCCTGACCTGGCACAGGCACAGGGTTTGAGGTTGGGACGTGGCACCTTGGCCGTGATGTGGGCTCTGGCTGCTATCCTGACGTGGCGCAGGGTTTTGGTGGTGGCGCAGGGTTTGGGGGGCCAGTCCTAACGTCACTTTCGAAACCAATAAAAAACCATCAATCAAGACAGCCGCTGCCAGGGATTGGGTGCTGCCCCTAGCTCTGGGGTGCTATCCTGACATGGCTCCTGCTGCTAGCCCGTGGCACAGGGTTTGAGTTGGGACGTGCCACCTTGGCCGTGACGTGGGCTCTGGCTGCTATCCTGATGTGGCGCAGGGGTTTGGTGGTGCGGCCAGTCCTAACGTCATGACATGGCTCCTGCTGCTAGCCCGTGCGCTCTGGCTGCTATCCTGACGTGGCGCAGGGTTTTGGTGGCGGCGCAAGGTTTGGGGTGCGGCGCCCTTGGCCCCTGACGCTGGTTGCTTTGGGGCGAGCCCCCCGTCCTAACGCTGCGTTCGGACGTGGCCCCTCGCCCTGACCTGGGCTCTGGCTGCTATCCTGTGACGTGGCTCCTGCTGGCCCTAGCCTTGACGTGGCCCCCTGGCCGTGGGCTCTGGCTGCTATCCTGACGTGGCGCAGGGTTTGGTGGTGGCGCAGGGTTTGGGGTGGGGCCAGTCCTAACGTCACTTTCGAAACCAATAAAAAACTATCAATCAAGACAGCAGCTGCCAGGGATTGGGTGCTGCCCCTAGCTCTGGGGTGCTATCTCCTGACGCGTGACGTGGGCTCTGGCTGCTATCCTGACGTGGCGCAGTGTTTTGGTGGTGGCGCAGGGTTTGGGGGCCAGTCCTAACGTCACTTTCGAAACCAATAAACTAGACGACGAGTGGCCCGAAAGCATTTTTCATCACGTAGGAAATCAGAGTGCGAGTTATCCGGTAAGTGTGTAGTGAGAAGTGTTAAGTCGAGTGAGTTGAGGTAGTGTGTGGGTTTCTGTGCGTGTGTCTATGTCCGTGTGGAAACGAGTCTGCGTATGTGTGTGTTCGTGGAAGTTGAGGGAGTGTGTGGGTGTCTGTGTGCGATGCGGCCTCCCAAACCCCCCACCGGCGGCCAAGCGGTGACAGCCCAGCTCATCGTCGTGAGCATTTGGGCTGCTGGTAAGGGGACAA